GTGGGAGAAGGAGAAGCAGGCCTCCCGCTGAGCGGGGAGCCCGATGCGGGGCTCGATCCCAGGACCCTGGGATCATGACCTGAGCCAAAGGCAGATGCTTAACAGCTGAGCCACCCAGGCGCTCCCAAAATAGCTTCATTTTAAAAGGAATTCCCCCCCCCACCCCGCATCGGGCTCCCTGCTGAGCAGGGAGCCTGCTTCTCCCTCTCCCTCTGTCTGCCACTCCCTTGCTTGTGCTCTCTCTCTCTGTCCAATAAATAAATAAAATCTTTAAAAATAAATAAATAAAATAAAAGGAATTTTCCCATTTTCAAAGCAAAAATATGGCAAACAGGTATGGCTAGTATTTCATTAGCCTCAACTATGTGTCTGGCACTTTACATACATTATCTCAGTTAATGATCATAACTCCATGATGAAGAAAAAGGGAAGTGATTACCTTAAGGCAACACAGTGTATGGTGAAGAGGGATTTAAATCCCATGCACCTAACCATCTTACCGTATTTCTTCTTTTTGGGTATTTCTTACCTCAGCTGCAGTAAATTTTTCCCTTGGCCCAGCTGTAATCCACAGTTTCACCCCAATTAGCTTCTCAGATGTGATTTCATCTTTTAAGCTAGAAATATGATTTTTAAAGTGTTAGATCCATAATTCAAGCCAATTTAGGAATTATTTTAGCCTCTAGACTACATGGAACCAGAGACCGCAGAGGCCTAGAGATGAAGGGATTTAGAGGTACCTGGTACAGCCTCTCTCCCAAAGTAAGAATCCCCTCTATAGGCTTGTCCCCAAATCAGCCTCTGCTCAAATACTTCCTATAGGCCAAGAAGTCCAAATTAAACCATACAAGAGTATAAAGAGTCCTCCAACTACTAATTCAATCAGCTCTGCTATTAGCTGGTATGATTACATATCATTACCCATTAAGAAAAACCATTTACACACACACAAAGACAGAGAGGTATTCTCATCTTTCCTTTCCCTAAACTGAAGTACTCACCCAAGTTAAAATATAGAGAAAGACTCTAACCTCTTAAAAAGTTGTATATGTATAATTAGAATAATTTTTTGATTTGTGATTTGGGAGACAACATGCCAATTGCCAATTTTCAAAAGAAATGTTTTTATAATCATTTAGTTACTTCTGAACAATCCTTAAATTGAACTCCTCCTACCTAAATAACTGCTTACATAAGAAAATAAAGGCTTTCCAATTATTACCAGCAGGCTATTGTTATCACTTAGAAGGGAAAACAATATACATGGTCACCTCTGAATCTTCCAATTACTCCGAAGTCTTTTCTGCATGGATTTATAGCCATTGTTGGTGGTAAATACTTCTTTTTTGTATGCATTGAAAAGAATGGTGCTCCGAAGCTCTTTCTCCATGGTTACCTTATGGAAAAAAAGAAGGGATCAGAAAAAAGGAAAACAATAAACAATATCCCAAAAGACCCTAAATTGAATAGTCTTCTAATTTATCAAGAGAGGGCATACAGCTGCAACCTAGCTATGAAATCCCTATGATTCTCAAAGGTTGAGAGTGAAATGCATAATCACAGCCACAGAAATATAAGGCCAACTTTGGCTTTTGTCTCTGTTTCTTTTTTTTCTTCCTTTTTTATTTATTTGACAGAGAGAGAGAGAGAGCGAGAGCAGGTACACAAGAAGGGGGAGTGGGAGAGGAAGAAGCAGGCTTCCTGCCGAGCAAGGAGCCCATCCCAGGACCCTGGGACCATGACCTGAGCTGAAGGCAGATGCTTAACGACTGAGCCACCCAGGCGCCCCAGTGCCTCCCGTTTCTTGCCCTGGCCTTCCCACCAGCCTATTCTCACAACCCTGCCCTGCCATCACCCTATCTTTATGCCCTTAGACCATGTTTCCCACTTGATTTCTCACTGCTAACTACTGTTAAGTGTGGGGCACAGTCTTCTAGATTCTTTTTATACATATGTTAACTTACAATTTTTTTATGATATAGGATCCTATAATATGCACTATTCTGCAACACACTTTTTTTTCTTTTTTTAAGATTTTATTTATTTATTTGACAGAGAGAGAGACAGCCAGAGAGGGAACACAAGCAGGGGGAGGGGGAGAGGGAGAAGCAGGCTTCCCGCCGAGCAGGGAGCCCGATGCGGGGCTCGATCCCAGGACCCTGGGATCATGACCTGAGCTGAAGGCAGACGCCCAACGACTGAGCCACCCAGGCGTCCCTGCAACACACTTTTTTAACCTAACCTTATATCTTTCCATTTCAGTACACGTGGATCTACCACATTTTTTTTTTTAAGATTTTATTTATTTATTTGTGAGAGAGAGAATGAAAGAGAGCACATGAGAGGGGGGAGGGTCAGAGGGAGAAGCAGACCCCCTGCTGAGCAAGGAGCCCGATATGGGACTCGATCCAGGGACTCCAGGATCATGACCTGAGCCGAAGGCAGTCGCTTAACCGACTGAGCCACCCAGGCGCCCCTCTACCACATTTTTTAAAACTGCTACACAATATTGCATTTATGGATGTACCATAATTTAACCAATCATACAGATGAACATATTTTTTCAAAATTTTTGCTAGTAAAACAATTCTACAAACATTACCCTTTTTTTTTTTTAATTCTATTTATTTATTTAACTGACAGAGAGAGACAGCGAGAGAGAGGACACAAGCAGGGGGAGTGGGAGAGGGAGAAGCAGGCTTCCCGCCGAACAGGGAGCCTGATGCGGGACTCGGTCATGACCTGAGCTGAGGGCAGTCACTTAACCAACTGAGCCACCTAGGCGCCCCTACAAACATTATCCTTAAACATGATGTTTTTCTGCACTTTCCATATTTGTAGACTAAATTTCTACCTGTTGAATGGCTAAGTAAACTATTTCCAAATTGCCCTCCAAAAATTGTATTTTTTTTTCCATTAATACTAATGTATTTGTTTGTAAGTAATCCTATTTCCAATCTTTTTCATCTTTGCTAGTAAAATGAGCAAAAAAAAAAAAAAAAGTCCCCACTGTTTTAATTTGCACTTTGACATTAGTAAGATGGCTATCTTTCACCGTGTGTATCGGCCACTTGTATTTCTTCTGATTTTCTTGCTCATGTACTATGTTCATTTTTCTATTGGCTTTAATATTTTTCTACCTAATCATTAAATACTTTCATAAATGTACTTGTCTTTAGACTTAGCTTCTAGTACCTTTTTGGGTTTGGCTTGGTGGAATTTTGTAGGACATACAGAAGGTTTTAAATTTTACAGAGTCGAAAGTATTCATCTTTTCCTTTCTGGCTTCTGGACTGCATGACATATTTACAAGAGTTTTTGCTGTGCCAAGATTACAAATACATACAACAATGCTTTCTTCCAGTACTTTGTTATGTTGGTTTTTAAGATTTAAATTCTGGCCTATTTGGAACTTATTTTAGTGATCAAAATAAGGCTCATTATTATTATTTTTTTACTAGAAAGCTGCCGGACACCAAAACACCTTTTCTTCTTTTTTCAAAGACTTTATTTACTTATTTGACAGAGAGAGAGACAGCACAAGCAGGGGGAGCAGCAGGCAGAGGGAGAGTGAGAAGCAAGGCTCCCCGAGGAGGAGGGAGCCTGCCACAGGGGGCTCAACCCCAGGATCCCAGGATCATGACCTGAGCAAAAGGCAGACACTTAACCGACTGGGCCACCCAGGTGCCCCAAACTACCCTTTCAATGCTGATTTGAAAGACCACCTTGATGGGGCACCTGGGTGGCTCAGTTGTTCGTCTGCCTTCAGCTCAGGTCATGATCCCAGGGTCCCAGGATCGAGCCCCGCATCGGGCTCCCTGTTCCTCCCTCTCCCACTCCCACTGCTTGTGTTCCCACTCTCGCTCTGTCAAATAAATAAATAAAATCTTAAAAAAAAAAAACCTTGACTACATAATAAATTCCCATAGGTATCTGTATTTGGATCTATTCTGAATTCCATTACATTCTATCTGCATGTAAGTTCCTGCTCAGTTCCATACTATTTTAATTACAACTTTATGTTATACTATCTGGTGGCGCTGCAGAGCTAACCCTCCTTATTGTCCTTACTTTTTAGAATTTTCCTGCCTAGCCTCACATATTTCTTTTTATTCCAGTTGAAATTTAAAGTCATTTTGTCATCTTTAAAAAAAGGCTCATGATCACAGCGCCACTATCTTTTCACGTTCCAACCATCCGTGTATACGCTTGTCTTCCCAATGTGTATATACAATATTGTATCCAGCTTTTCCCACTTTCCTAAAAGAAAAGTCTTCATGGTTAGGTTAGTGGTTGTACCCTCTCTTGCGTGGTTATGCCATAATGAACCCAACCACCGCCTTCATGGGCATCTTGATTTTGCTATCACAAACACACTGGAATTTACATACTTCTGCTTTTGCCACTATTTTTGCTGTAGGACAAATTCCTAGGAGCACGATTCCTAGGAAAAGGGTTTGAGACTAGATGTTACGAGTCCTCGTCCAATGATCTTTCAAACTCAGCAAGACGACTAAAAATCCGCCCAGTCGCAGGCGATCGGGATTCGAACCCAGTGCGACGTTCGGGATCCGGGCCTATATCCGCGGCCCCAGTTTACTTTACCCCCATGAATCTCGATTTTCCGCAAGACCGGCCCAGAGGCCTCAGGAACAGGCCGCCGAGGCCCTCGCCCGCTCCCAGGTCGCCCCAACGGCCCGGCCGGCTCATCACAGTCGGAGTCCTTCTTACCTGAGGCCCAGTGACCACCATCTTCACCTGACACCGCCCCGCATCCCGCGGCCAGGTATCCAAGGCCTCTTAGCAACGGCGCAGGTGAGGCGGCGCGCCGGGCAGGCGTGCACTGCGGCGTGGACCCACCCCCGGAGCAACGTGATGACGACTGAACGGAAGGCGCCGTCCCACCTTGAGCGTCACGCGGCTGGAGGCCGGGGGCGGGGCTAATAGGGGAAGGTACCATTATGTTGGATGAGGGGGTAAACCCAAAGAGAACGTGAATTAACTTTATGCCAAAGACAAGCCCATCGCGCTTCGTCCTTTAATATCAGTATTCTTAGAGAATACTGTATTCTTAGAGAATAAAAGTATTCTTAGAGACTGATAAAAATGGTAGGACCCTACGGCCCAAACTTCGCTCCACCCTGAGGGAGAAGAGCGAAGGCTTCGGGCGGGACGCGGCGGTAGATGCTCCAGCCTGGACCCCAGGGGCGCGGGTGCAGAGCGGAGGGGCGAAGCGGGGTGGAGCTCGGCGGCTTGGACCCTGCGCGGCGGCGGGGGTGCCCAGAACTCAGATTAGCGGCGCCGTGCACGGTGTGGAAGGGCTTCGGGGTCTTGGGAGCCCAGGAAAGCCTTCCCGGGGGAGGGTGGGCAGGATTAGTGGTGCGAATTGTCACTCGAGATAGTTCTTCCTCGTTGATTAGCCCCGCATCTCTGAGCGCCACCGTGCCAGGCCCGGGATATGGCCGTGAAGCCGCCCTCGGGGCCTCCCCGGATGGGGAGTGAGACCTTGGCCAGATCCTACAAAACAGTGAAAATATAAACGGTATTACTGAGGGAGCTGTGAGGGCCCGGAACTGGTCTGAAAGGCGCCCAGGATGAACAGAGATATGATTGATATTCATTAAGAAGAGTAATATTCACTAAGGCAAGGGCTGGAGAAGGAGCCGCTATGCCAAAGAGGCAAAGCCAGATAGAGGTTGTCCTGCCATCGCCATCAAAATGAAAAGCCAGGCGCCGGTAACCACAAACAGGCCCCCCTTCCCTCCAGGGGAGCGCCCCTTGCCCGCCCTGAGAAAGTGTGGACTGCAATGCCACTTCCTCGCGGGTCCAAACCAGGAGCAGAGACATCCGGCAGTTTGGGTTTACATTTATGTTTGTTACAATCTTCATAGGTACAGAGTAGTACCAGTTTTAGGAGCTTGAAACACGCAACTCGTTGCCTTTACTGTTGCTGCAGAGGTAAAAAGAGAAGAGTATGAGAATTCTCTTGATGGGGATGCTGTAATTTGGTGCAAAATTAATAAAGATGGAAGTGATGTGTTCCCATTGGAGAGGGTGTAGGCTGTGCCACTTGAGGGTTTGGACAGGTCTGGAGTTCCTTCTGCCTGATGTACGGTCAGTGTTCGTAGAAAACCAAGTTCAATTCCCGGCTGTGCCTTGTACCAGCTGGGTGACCTTGGGCAGGTTGCTTAATCTCTCTGAATGTTCCTTATCTGTAAAGTGAGGTCATTAATTTCTAAATGCCGGTTTATTGCGAGAATTGTTTTTGTTTCTTTGTTTTTTATTTATTTGACAGGGAGCACAAGCAGGGGGAGCAGCGGAAGGAGAGGGAGAAGCAGGCTCCCCACTGAGCAAGGAGCCGGATGCGGGACTCGATCCCAGGACCCTGAGATCATGACCTGAGCCGAAGGCAGACGCTTAACCAACTGAGCCACCCAGGTGCCCCTATTGTGAGGATTGTTGATAATGCAGAACGTGCTCAATAAACATAGACGAAGCATGATCAGTTCAATATTATAGTTCTTCTTCATTTTTATTTTCTATCTTGGTGAAAATTTTGTGACTTTACCGTCTTAGACCACATGGAAGCATTATGTGTTTCACAACCCATAGCAGGTTGTGTACTTTTGACAGTACTCTCCTGTTACCTGACAACTACACTCTCGCTTTTGGCTTTGGGAAGTTGGGAGAATGTGGGCCTCTCCATCATGTTCCACATTTGTCAGTTAACAGTTGCTGTTATGATGGAAACCAAATCAGGGTGTTTCTTTCCAAGTCTCAGCACATGTCATAGGGTAACAGTAACTTTTCCTGACCCAGCTTGGATCTCCAGTAGGTCAATGTTAGTGTCATTGGTGTGTCTTCCATGGTCTTCCAGCGTCATCCCCCCGTTATTCCTGGGGCACGGAGCTGAGCAGAAATAAAAAGGAAGAGAAAGAGTGGGGTTAGGAGGAAAAGGCAATAAAATCGCCAGCACACACTGATGTTAAAGTTCTCTCCTTGTCCACAAGCCAAAAAGCCAATAAGCCCACCCTGAAGTAGCTGATGAACCACAGGTTTGTGAAAAAAAGACCACTTTGCCACTGAAATAAGGCAATATGATCCATCCTACTCGGTTTTGTGGGTACTGTTACCACAGTTACCACATGAAAGCTTCTAGTCCCTTCCTTGAGTCAAAATCTGGCACAGGTGCATCCGTGGGCCACATGCCTGGCCCTCGCAGCACAGGAGGCTGGGAAAGTCAGTATCTAGCATTTTCAGCTACTGTAAGTAGAGGTAATTACTCCCCTTCATCAGGGCTCACGAGCTAGGAGATTGCCCAGACATAGGAAAGGGTTCAGGTGTCAGGCAGGCAAACCTAATAACAATGTCCAGTACCACCCACAACAACAACAAAAAGATACCATCAACAGAGGAAAATTAGAGCATGTTGAGTAATAGCCTATAGGCTTATTACATCTCTGTCATTTTACACATGGAGATAAAAATCCAAACACCAAGAGGTTCTTTGGTAGAGAGATGCTGGTTGCCTACCCCACATTTCCCCCTTCTCCCTTAGTATGAGAGCCTGTGTTTTTAGGGGTAATAATGTGCCCAGCTAATAAACCACATATCCTAGCCTCCATCACAGGTAAGAGTGGATGGCTAATGAGCAGAAGCCATTGGTGGGGGCTTCTGGGGAAGCTCTGTCAAGGTGCTATTTTGCTCTTCCCTCCTTGCCTCCTTTTTCCTTGCCCAGGACACAGAAGCAGTGACCCAGCTGCAGCAACCACTCCGTGGCAATGAGGCAAATCCTAATATTGAAAGCCAATCGCCGAGGATGGCAGAGCAGAAATGCAGAAAGCCTCTGAGTATCTGAAGACCTGTCCAACCAGCCTTGGACCACCTAACAACATTCTTCCTTTATGTGCTGGAAAAATATACGTAACCTTATTTAAGCCATTGTTACTTTGAGTCTCTGTTACTAGAAGCAGAAGGTAAGGAAGGTAATTCCTGAGGGATACCAGCTGTCTTCAGTGGCTACACAAGTGCTTCTCTTCTAGTAGTCCAAGATGGTCTCATCCTCTGGTGCATAGGAAAATCCCAGGAATGCACTCGAGGCCCCAGAACTACTGGCCACAGTGTCGGGAGTGCAGCCAATGGACTTTGAAACAGCTTCCTGGGTGAACTCGGGGTCAAAGTGTTTCAAGTCAGCAGGTCCTGCCTGTGAATAGAAACCAATGGTGAGATAGGAACACGGCGGGCAGAGCTGCCAAAGGAACCCACAAGCCCTGAGAGGGATGTTAGGCCTCCCCTCTGAGGGCCTCGTGGACACCCACCTTTACCTGTCACTTACGTATGTGTATGCATTAGTCATCTTATTCCACGTGGCCCACTAACCACATATCAATTCCTCTAACCTCCTGGCACCCTGCCTGCGCCACACCAACCCTCTGACAAGTCTAGTCAATATACACTTACTGAATGCCTACCAGGCACTGTTCATGGCACTGGAAATACAGGAGAACAAAATAGAGTGGGCCCCTGCTTTCATGGAGCCTATACTATGCAGAGGGTAGGAGGACTGATAATGAGCATGTACAGAAATAGATAGTCTGGGGTGTTGATAGGCCTTATGAAGAAGACTGATAATGAGCATGTACACAAATAGACAAAAAGACAATCTGGGGTGTTGATAGGCCTTATGAAGAAGACCAAATAAGGTCATATGATAGCAGAGTGACTGGCTGGCTTTTGCTATCTTGGAGAAAGACCTGTGTATCACCTTTAATGGTCATAAGTCCTCCATCCGCCATCCAGAGGTGGAGTCTAGCTCTCCATACCTTTAATATGGTATGGGTTTAATACGGGTTAGCCATGTGACTTGTTTGGGACAATGGCACGTTACCGGATGTGAAGCAAGCCAAGGCTTGAGAAACACACATTGGGAGTTGTTCTCTCCTGCTGCACTTGGAACCCTGGGCCACCATGAGAACAAGCCCAGGCAAGCCTGTTAGAGTAGGAGAGGCCTCAGAAGGAGAATCCAGTTGCCCCAGCTGCTGGCCAACTGCCTGGCATTTGAGTGAGGCAGTTCTAGATCCCAGACATGAGAGAGCGCAGCAGAGACCAGCTGGCCTGGCACCGGCCAAAAAAACTCACCCAGCCAACCCACAGAATTGGAGTGAAATACAAAATTGTTTTAAGCCACCTCGTTTGGGGGGTGGCTTGTTAGGCAGCATGAGCTAAATGAATCAGCCTCTTTGTGAGGAAGGCACAGTCTCTGGAGAATACTAGGCCCCCCGGGTTTTCTGAAGTGAGCAGGTGAGCAAGTGGAAAGGTCTGCATATCCGCTTGAGTATGCAAGCCTCAGGTTGTAGAACCAAAAACACCAAGGTTTCCAACTTCTCAAAAAGGCCACAGGGCACAGTGGTCCCAGCTCAGGGACCAGCGTTCCAAGACCAGAGTGTAGATCCTGGCCCTGGCTCTTGTTAGCTGTGTGGTCCTAGACAAGACAGATGTTTTCTGTTTTTTACAAATGATATCAATGCTAAAGATACTTATTCAAGGTCTCACAGTGGTAGGTGACAGAACCAGGAATCCACTCCCAGTATGTCTTACTTTAAAGTCCATTCATTGCATCCTATTACCTCCCTGTCTAGCATTTTTTTATTATTAAAGATTTTATTTATTTATTTGACAGAGAGAGACACAGCGAGAGAGGGAACACAAGCAGGGGGAGTGGGAGAGGGAGAAGCAGGCTTCCCGCGGAGCAGGGAGCCCGATGCGGGGCTCGATCCCAGGACCCTGGGATCATGACCCGAGCCGAAGGCAGACGCTTAACGACTGAGCCACCCAGGCACCCACCTGTCTAGCATTTTTTATATTATTCTCTCTCCAGGGTCTTTTACACCCCCAGATAAAGAAACTTTTCAGCTACCTGGACTGAGTGTATCCTATCTGACAACTGTTGTCAAGACTCTGGTGCTCAAAGAGACATTCATGCACAGGTAATTCACGAAAGGCGAGGTGTAAATAGCAAACATTGGCAATGTTGAGGTGTGCAGAGTACACGGATGGAAGCAGCTTGACACTGCTGAACTCTTCGCAGGTGGCTGAGTAAACCTCCAATGTCTGCTTCAAATGGGGCTCCTTTCATGCATACTACCACCGCTAATTAATATTAGCGCTAATTAACAGCACTAATTAAACACTAGCCACCTTGACTATAAAAGAAATTAAAACAATATGAGATGCCATGTTTTACTTAACAAATTTGCAAAGCTAAAAACAGAAACAACTGCATGGGGCGCCTGGGCGGCTCAGTCGTTAAGCGTCTGCCTTCGGCTCAGGTCATGATCCCGGGGTCCTGGGATCGAGCCCCGCATTGGGCTCCCTGCTCCGTGGGAAGCCTGCTTCTCCCTCTCCCACTCCTCCTGCTTGTGTTCCCTCTCTGGCTATCTCTCTCTGTGTCAGATAAATAAATAAAATCTTTAAAAAAATAAAAACAGTAACAACTGCACCCGTTGCAGAGAGGAAGATGACAATTCTCCAGCCAATCCTGTTGACAGGAAGTGGATTTTACTCCCCACTGCACAGTTAAGGCAGTGGGAATCAAGAGCCTAGGGAGTGCCTGGCTGGCTCAGTTGGGGAGAGCAAGCAACTCTTGACCTCAGGGTCTTGAGTTCAAGCCCCACACTGGGTGTAGAGATCACCTAAAATTTAAAAAAAAAAAGAAAAAACCTAAAAATGTTCACATTCTTTTGACCTGGTAATTCCCCACCTGGAATCCATCTTAGGAAATAATCAACCCAAGGCAAAGATACACACTTAAAGGTGTTCATTGGTACTTTTATGATAAAAAAAAAGAATGATAAATAACCTAAAGTTCACCATTAGGAGCATGGTTGAATAAATTATATCACCAACAGAGGGCTGAAATATTATGTAGCCATTTAAAATGATACTTAGAAAGTTTTATATGATTTGGGGGAAATAATGAGCTTGTTTCTAGCAAGAAAAGAAAGGTAAGGGGAGAAGATATCTGTATGTATAAAGTATGACCTATGTAAAAACACACAGAAAGACAGGAAGGAATATGCCAGCAGCAGTTTCTCTTGGGCAGCGAGATAATAAGCTTTTCCTCCCTGCTGCTTTAAACTCTTGTTTTACACACCTTCTATAATGAATACATGTCGTTTTTATTATCAGGAGAAAAAAACTTTTACAGGGCTTATCAGGAGAAAAAAACTTTTACAGGGCTTGGTTCTGTCTGGATGTGCTATGTGACAGAGAAGGGTTTATTTACTTATTGTTTTATTTTTTTTAAAGATTTTATTTATTGGGTGCCTGGGTGGCTCAGTAGTTAAGCGTCTGCCTTTGGCTCAGGTCATGATCCCAGGGTCCTGGGATTGAGCCCTGCATCGGGCTCCCTGCTCGGTGGGGAGCCTGCTTCTCCCTCTCCCACTCCCCCTGCTGTGTTCCCTCTCTCACTGTGTCTCACAGAGAGAGTGAGAGAGACAGAAAGCACGAGCAGGGGGAGCAGCGGGCAGAGGGAGAGGGAGAAGCAGGCTCCCCGCTGAGCAGGGAGCCCCATGTGGGGCTTGATCCCAGAACCCTGGGATCATGACTTGAGCTGAAGGCAGATGCCCAACTGACTGAGCCACCCAGGCGCCCCTATTTACTTATTTTTTTAAGACTTTATTTTTAAGTAATCTCTACACCCAACATGGGACTCGAACCTTCAACTCTGAGATCAAGAGTCACAATGTCCACTGACTGAGCCAGCCAGGAGCCCCCAGAGGGTGCTTTAAACAGTGTAAAGGGCTCTCCAATGAAGGTTATTGGTGCTGAGAATGAAGGGGGGTGGGCAGCGTGGCTCATCACACAGAGCTGGACCGGCAGTCAGGACTTCTGGGGTCTAGACCCTGTTTTGCCTCTAACCTACCGTGTGGCCTTGGGCCCTTGCTTTTCCCACCTATAGAAAGAGAGTCGGCCCGGATCCCCTCCAAGCTCCCACCAGCCCCCGAAATCCAGAATCTGGGAACACAGTGACTTCTTACCACATTTGGATTGAAGGGTGGAGTCAGCCTCTTGTGGTACAAGTCATCCCAGTTTATGGGGCTGAAGAATACATGGCTCTTTATCTCAAGCTGCAGGAAGAAGGTGCTGATCACAAGTAGCCCTCCCCAAAGCACTCCTCCCCACCCCACCCCCACCTCCCATGTCTGGGAGCTCTAAATCTATTGGCAACTGGCTGTCAAGCCCTAAAACCTTTACTGGGAAAGTAACTCATACTTCCAGCTGGTTTCCTGGGACAAAGGGCTGTTCTGCAGCCAGGTCTCTTCCCTTCACCACACCTAGAACCCAAACCCTTCTCCCCCATAGTATTCATTTATTCCTCAACCATTTACCGAGCGCCTACTCTATGCCAGCACCATGGGACGCTGTGGTGGTATGTCAGTGAACAAGAGTGCAGAACTTGCCTTTGGGGTTCCCAGAGGATCTTGCCACCCCACCCACCTGCCTCAGTGCATCTTGATTCTTCTAGAATGCAAACCAGAAAAATAGACCACATCAGCTCAGTAAGGAAGGTGAAGGAAGTAAAGCCTCAAGAAAAGCTGCAGGCTCCTGGAGGCCCAGAACTTAGGACTCAGCCCTGGGCCTCATTCACTACTTCTTTCCTCATCTAAGCCAATGTCAGCATCAAGCTCCTCCTGTCCCAGTGGGACCCTCTCTATCTGTGTTTCGCAAGGAATGATTCTCCAGATCCCTACATCGTAACCACTCCCCACCTCATGCCCTGCACGCCTCTTAAAAAGCCAGATCCGAAATATCTTGAGTACCCAAGAAACAGATAACAATGGTTGCCTTTAAACTAAGGAACTGGGTGACTAGAGGGACTTTATCTTCATATCCTTTGAGTTTTGATCTATGGGAATGTATACCTTATTTGAAAAATCATACATATTTTTTAAGATGCAAATTTCCACTTAGAAGAAGGGCACCAGTCTTCATAAAAGTCCCCTTCTTGGGTGCCTGGGTGGCTCAGTCGGTTAAGCATCTGCCTTCGGCTCAGGTCATGATCCCAGGGTCCTGGGAGGGAGTCCCACATCGGGCTCCCTGCTCCGCACAGAGCCTGCTTCTCCCTCTGCCTCTGCCTTTCTCTGTCTCTCATGAATAAATAAATAAAAAATAAATAAAATAAAAGTCCCCTTCTTTAAGCTGGCCAGGGATGGGTAGGCAAATGCCCTAAATGTTGTTACACTTCATGGTATCCAGCATGTGTGGCTATGGGTACCAACACTTAGCACTGGCCTAAGTGCTTTGCATAAATTAATTCACGTGATCTTTATAGCAGCTGTGAGCTAGGTTATTATTGCAGATGGAGAACCTGAAGCTTACATAGAGAAGTTATGCAATTTGCCCAAGGTCCTGCAACCAGAAAGGACTAGGAAGGTGGAGGAGGGATCTGAACCCAGGTAGTCTGTCCATGCATCACAACCACTCTGCTAGAAGAGAAAGCAAACTTCCAGGGAGAAAAGCACTGTGGTCTTCCTTTTATAAATTCAAATTATCTTTTGTTGAATAGAGAATGTAAGATTATTTTTCGAGTACTACTTTAATAAAAAAGAAACCATGAACTCATTACAGGAATCGAGAGTGAATTACTCATCTCTATATCCTGAATGCCCAGCCTGGCACTGGCAAAAACCAAGTCCAGTCCTCTCTCTGAACAGAAACCAGAGGAATTTCTTAAAACTGAAATTGAGTCTTGCCATACCCCTGCTCAAAACCCACCAAAGTGGACCACGCTTCTTGTTCCTGCCACAGGACCTTTGCATATGCTGTGCCCTGTGTTGTCACCTCCTCAGAGCGGACCTCCCTCACCATGCTAGTGTAAATCCACTCCCTCCCATTATTGTCTGTCTTGGCTCGTTGTTCATTTATTTCCTGGTACTTGTCACACTCTGCAATAATTATATACCATAATGTTTGTTTGCTGTCTGCCCTCCCCCGATCAACTTAATAAGGGCAGAGACCCAGGCCCATTGAATCGCTAGAACCTAACTCAATGCCTGGCACATAGTAGGTGCTCAGTAAACATTGGTTGAATAAAAGAACTGGACTGAAGGAAGCAATTAAGCAGTAGCAGCTGTGAATTGCCAAACGAAGGAGTTCGCAATGCCTGGTTTTGGAGGGCAGCTGGATGCACATCACTGTGCTTCTAAGCTGCTTCTGCAGGAAGCTGAGCGCCCCCATCAGGGACCGGTGCTCGCTAGCAGTTCACCTACAAAGTCTGATTTGGAGCCCAGCCGCTGCCTCTGGTCCTTGTGGAGAAGGCCGTGCAGGAGGTCGCAGGCAGCCACAGTCTGGCCCCCGGGGATCTGTAGTGGCTGGTACAGAATGTTCTCATACATCTGGGTCATGTCTTGGCTGTAGAATGGTGGCTGATGAGAGAGAGAGAGAGAGAGAGAGAAGCTGGAGGTTCATCCACGCTAAAGTGGGGAAAGGTCTCAGGGAGACTTAGAGCAAAGCCAGGTAATGGAAGGATTCAGCCAGACTGTGTCTTGTGCAGTGGGTCATGCCGCAGACTGGAGAGAGACAGAGACCTCGGCTTCCAGCACGGAGGAGAGGACTGCTGGGAAGGCTGAGAGGGGGCCTCCCGGGAGCACCCCCTCTCCCAGCTCTCTCAACCCAGCTTGGGCACCAACTCTGCACTTTGCAAAGTGAACCCTTTCCCCCTCATCATTCCAGCCCAGCCGCACAGCCATCTTTGAAGACGGGTAGTAATTTGTTGGATAAGACAAGGCTCAGAGAGATTAAGCCACAGGGCCAGGAAGAGAGCCAGGCCCCACTCCGTGCCCAGAGCCCACTCTTTCCTGAGGCTCTTCATCCTGCCTCCTCCGCTGGCTCTTCCTCTTCCTGACTCCCCACAGCCCGTTCTTTCATATCCCGCACGCTCTGTTGGCGAAGCCAGCCCAGAGCAACACCTCTGCTGGGGTAAGTCTACACAACGCCTATGCTGAGCAGGCAGCCTAGGACTGGCCCCAGGGCTGGTTCCACAAACTACCAGCACTGAGACCTTTCTGGACTTCAGTTTCCCTCTCGGTAAATAAGAACAACTCCGTTTCCTATAGTGGCAGTCCTCCAAAGGCTGTTTCTAGGTGCTAAGGGAGTAACATGCAGGACGGTGTGTTGTAAAGTGCTGAACTAATGCTATTAAAGAAACATGCATAATCCTGACATCATCTCTTCGAGGTTGGAGTAGAGAGATGGCTCATTCAGTTCCTTGAGGAGCCTGAGGAGGCCACACAAGGGAGAGATCCACCCCCATCTCTTCCCAGAGCCACATGTCCCTTGCAGATGGTTATACCCCACTCACCAGGCCTTGCAGCATCTCGTAGAGAACTGCCCCCAAGCACCACCAGTCCACTGCCCGATCATAAGGCTCTTTACGAAGCACTTCTGGAGCTAAGTACTGTTGAGGAGAAATACACGTATATGAAAGATACTCGGCCTCAGTCTCCCCAGTTGTAAGCAGGGCACTTAGAAGAAAAGATCACCAGGGGTTGATCCTGCTGTGATATTCACTTGGCTGTGCATATGTTCAATCAGCATCCCTTTGCCAAAGGCCAACTCTGTGCGTGACCCTTTGCCAACGTGCTGGAGACATAGGGGAGATCAGGCAGGACTGCCCTGTATAGTTGTGTAAGTGGGGCACCATACAGAAGTACCAGCCAAAAGGATATAGGGAGATGTAAGCCTGGCTGTGATTAACTCACCAAGCCATAATGCTAGTATAGGGCTATATCTGGCAACTTGATTAATGTTTAATAGAGTAACTTTTTCTAATTAATGTGCCCAAGGGAGTGCCTTTATCTAATTTGCACAAAAGCATCCAATTGGTGTCCTGGGAACAGGAAAGCCCTGTGAGTACTCACAGTGCACTGGGGAGACTAATGGTGAAGTGTAAGTAAACGTGGCCCATACTTGTCCTGGAAACCTCAGTGGCAGAGAGATGGGTAGAAATCAGGAAAGAGGTGGTGACGCGTGAGCTCATATTGACAGATGAATGCATGCCACAGAGCTGTGCCTTCCAACAAGAAGAGGACCCGAGGCAGAGCTGTGCTTTCTGCCAAACCCAAGGGCTTGGTGACCCCTTAGCCTGGCGTCTCTGCCACTAAGGAAAGGGGTCTCAGCAACCGATGGAGCCATTTTGAGAGACTGTGTGAGTGTGGGAGGGGCAGGAAGTCACCCAGACCTGAGTCCATGTAGGACTCATTTAACCTCCCAGAACCCTGATTTCCTCCTCCATAAAATGGGGTTGCAGGATCCCTCCCTGGGAGCTGTTTTAAGGCTCTGTGCTAATCTAGGTGTAATATGATATGTGTGTAGGCCTTGAACAATGGGAGCAACCATGGGTACTCTTGTCTGTGCTTCCGGGCAACACAACAGTGGCAGAGTTATGGAAGAGATGGCGTGTTGGGGCCCCATGTCTCCTACACAATCCAGGGTGTCCTATGCCCTGCTCCTCACCCTGGCAATGTCCAAGGAAGGGATGGCTGGGGTGTCAGGCTCTGGGAGACCAGCTCTGTCCAGGGGACACCCTGCCATATGCAAACACAGACAATGGCTCTTGCTCAGAGAGATCAGCAGTCCATCAGCTGCCCCAAAACCAAATGGAGGAGGCCCAGCTGAGATATGAGATATAGATTTTCTAGCAGAGAACAATAGAGCAGCTAATGTCCTGTCCCATTTCAGATCAGGAGGAGCTTCCCTGTCCGACAGCCTCTGCCTCCCAGCCCCCACCCAGATATCTGTCAACTGGGAACCCCTTTGGGTCCAAGGTCCAAGGGTCAACACTGGTGGGAGTCCAGGGAAGGGTTTTCACCACAAGGCTCCAGGGAGGCCTTGGCAGGACACATAGACATGAATGAATTACTGCTGAGGCCCACAGATTTTAGCCCCCCAGGCTCTTGGCAGCTGGAAGAGGGGAGTAGACCAGCATTTTACATTTGCAAGCTCTGATCTTAACTGTCAGGCCAAGCCCTCCTGTCGCACATGGACTTCACCCTGTAGGGCAGGCTGTCCAATATGGCAGCCACTCATCACACTGCTACCAAACACTTGAAAGGAGATTGATCTCATTTCAAAGACTTAGTTAGAAAAAAAAGAATAAACTATCTCAACAATTTTATATTGATTGTATGTTGAAAGGACAATATTTTGTGTTTATTGGGTCAATTAAAATATATTACTAAGATGAATTCCACCTGTTTCTTTTTCTTTTTACTTTTTAAATGTGGCTACTGGGAAACTTTACATTGAGTGTATGGTTTGCATGGCTATTTCTATTTCTTTTTTTTTTTTTTTAAGATTTTATTTATTTATTTGACAGAGAGAGAGGGACAGCGAGAGAGGGAACATAAGCAGGGGGAGTGGGAGAGGAAGAAGCAGGCCTCCCGCCGAGCAGGGAGCCCAATGCGGGGCTCGATCCCAGGACCCTGGGATCATGACCCAAGCCGAAGGCAGACGCCCAACGACTGAGCCACCCAGGCGCCCCGGCTATTTCTATTTCTATAGGACTGCATTGCTGCAGAGCTTCCCTAGCAGCCCACAGAGCTGGTGCCATTACACGGACGAGGAAAGCAAGGCAGAGAGCACAGCCAGCTCAGGGCAAGGGCTTGGGTGACAGGAGTGAGCCTCCCCCACCCCGGTGTAATCTGTTGGCTCTAAGCAGGAGTTGAAGCTCAACCACTCATGGCCTGGCCTCTGACCTCTCCTACAAGGTTTGGCTTACCTCAGGGGTGCCACAGAATGTGGATGTGGTCTCTTCAGGCTCTACCCCTTCCTTGCAGAGGCCAAAATCCGTCAGCACCACGTGTCCCTGAAGAGGAGGTGGGTGGGTGGTCTAAGCTAAAGGTATGGTCAGGCCTAACCCCAAAGCCCAGATGCTTCACCCCAGGGCAGCAGCTGCGGAGTCAGCTATAGGCTCTGGCCCAGGCTATGGGCTCTACTTAGAGACCCAGAGCTCCTAGACTGGATGCCAGGAGCAGTACAAGGGGCAAGCTGGGGGGATAGCATTGCACTGTCTGCCCCCACCCCAGCTTATCACAGACTTAGACCCATGCCCTACAACACGGCAGCTCCAGGAATGTCCTTGCTGAAGGGGACTGGTGGTGGCAGCTCCCTTGACAGAGGGCTGGCGTCTCAGAAAGGAACCATATCTTGGGGCAGCTGGGCAGGTGGGTGGCTGGTGGAGGTCATGGAGTGAGTGGATACTGGGGGGCTCTGCTTAGATCCCCCCTTTAGGAGCTGTCATGCTCACCCCCCCCCCACTTCTGGGACATTGCCCTCACCCAAAGTTACGCCCCTCCCCAGGGGCAATCCACACCCAGTGACTGGTCGATGCAGGGGCACAAAAGCCCAGCCTCCCTGCCTCAATTCGGAATGGGTCTAAAGAGTCGCCCCAGCTTGGGCCCTCCCCACCCCTGTAAGATCAGCCAAGGCCTCCTCAACTGCAACCACAATGCAGGTGGGCTTCCTCCTCTGCCCAATCCTGCCTCCCCACCCCCTTAAAACTGGATTTCTTAAGAGCATTCCCCAATAACCATCTGCACTCAACGCTCCATCTGTTTCCAGGGGACCCAGTCTAAGACATGGAAAGACTACAAAGTCCAAGAGCCTCTACCTGGCTCCACCCCTACCCCCCACAGACCTCGTACACACACACACACACACGTATGTGCACACATAGTCGAATGCATCCCTACCCACTTGCATGCAGGTACAATGCTTGCACACACACATAAGCACACAGCACACGTGTGCAGCTATGTGCGCCCCCGCGCACGCACACACACACACACGCGCGCGCGTGCACGCACACCAACCTCGCAGTCCAAGAGAATGTTCTCTGGTTTCAGGTCCCTGCAGAAAACAAGAGAAACGAGCACCATGAGGTCTCACTTAGTGAGGAGAGCCGGGAGCCCGGGGTCCTGGCAGGAGGACTATTCCTGGAGGCTCACAGAGATGTGGACGGAGAGCCCAAGGAGAATGGGCACTTGATTCCAGAAAGGAAGCTCCTACTCTACTCCCACTGCTGCGCTGTCCTCCTCGGACAAAGGGCCAAGTTCCCCAGGACCTAGGGGTCCACACAAGCCCTGGCATTTGTGGGGAGGGGCCAGGCCTGGCTGAGCCACAGGCGGGCCTCACCTGTAAATGATGTTGAGGGAGTGCAGGTAGCCAATGGCGCTGGCCACCTCGGCGGCGTAGAACCGGGCCCGGGGCTCCAGGAACCGGCGTTCCCGCTGCAGGTGGAAGAAGAGCTGGAAGGGGAGGAGGTGTGAGAGAGGGTCTCCGGGTGGGGGGCTGCAGCTGCTAGAGTGCAGGGTGCGGGGCAACTGGCCGAGTCATCTGCTCTCTGAGCTGCGATGTACTCAGATGGAAACGGGCATTCTTGGGGCACCTGGGGGGCTCCGTCGGGTAAGCATCTGATCTGACTCTTGATCTCAGCTCACACCTTGATCTCAGAGTTGTGAGGAGTGCAAGCCCCATGTTGGGCTCTGCGCTAGGCATGGAGCCTACTTAAAAAAAGGGGGGGGCATGCTGGCCCCCACCATACAGAGCAGTCGCGGGTGTCCAAAGTGTCAGCAGGAGAGGTTAATTCACATGGACTGAGCAGCTACCGGGTTCCAGGCTTGAAGCCAGACCCTTTCACATCTCTTACCTCATTTAATTCTCATGACTACCTTTAAAGTATCAAATACGATGCCAGTTTCACCTAAGAGGAAACTGGGAGGGGTCGGGTGACTTGCCCAAGGCCATGTAGCTCATAACTGGCAGAGCGGCCAATGGCCCTGGGTCATTCAAAGATGTGTTTTTCCTCCCCCCGGGGCAATAAGATGCTCAGAGCTGTCAAACTGAGCCCAGCCTAGGTCTGCCTGTGAGCCAATTGCTTTGGTCTGTATTGCTGGCCTTGGAGAGGCCTTTACCTCTACCAGGGGACTGTGCTTCTGGGTCACCCAGTGGCCTTGGGTCTCTGTTTACCCCAGGGACCAATCACCCCCACCCAGTGGCCTGTGGTATAAAAAAGGGGCATTGGAAATCTTGACCGCAGAGCTCCACTAACTCTGGCCTTACCCAGGTGTGCTGAAGTGAGTCTGGGCAGCCTTGCGTGCGGGCAGTCAAGAAATGCTGTGGCCGGGAGCCAAACAGACTTGCATTCAAATCCTGGCTCTGTCAGGGACAAGCTGGGCGGCCTTGAGCAAGGGAGTTACCTCCCGAGCCTGAGTTTTTCAGCTACAAAGTGGGTCTGTTGTGAGGATGAGGGGAGATCATTCCAGAATCTGGTCCACACCGGGCACGTAAGAGCCCAGCCCAGGGAAGCCTCCCTAGGGTCCACCCACCTCTCCCCCGTTGACATAGTCGAGCACGAAGTAGAGCTTCTCAGCCGTCTGGAAGGAGGAGCGTAAGCCCACCAGGAAGGGGTGCTGTACATTCTTCAGCAGGACACTGCGCTCCGCCATGATGTGGTTCTGCTGTGGAGTCAGAGGCAGGGGTCCATGTCACAACCCGCCACAGCCCCTTGTACCCTGGCACAGCCCATGTGGCCTCACTCACTCCTGGGGCTGCCCTGCCCAGGACCTTCTCATGCCCCTGCTCAAATACCCACTGTGGCTCCTTAGTGCCCTCAGAGCCTAGCAGGCAGGATTCTGAATGGTCAGCCTCATCCCCAGCCTCATAGGTGCCCCTCCAGCCCCCGGGTCAGAGACCTCTGTCCCCCTCCCCTGGGGTGATAAGGTAAGCGGACGTGATTACTGCATAAAAGGAGCCACACTCATGCTTTTGTTCATGCTGTTTTTCCTGCCTGCGCACCCCACATTCGAGGCCAGCTGCCAGGCCACCTCCCCTATGTGCTATGTGCCCTCACGATGTCCTTGTTAACATTAATTCCCTCGCCTGAGTCCTCTGATTGATAGTCAATCCTCTCTCAGGGCCTGCTCCATGCCCCCTCAGGGGGCTGGATTAAAGAGACTCAAGTCAGCTGAAGAATCCACAACTCCGGGACGGCTGTGGCTTGAGGGGCCTTTGGAGAGTATAAAGTAAGCCTCCAACACCTCATGTCTAGGGAGGCTGGCAGTTAGACAGGGCAGAGGGCTTGTCAGCCATGGAGCCCTGAATTTCCCAGGGGAAGGTGGAGGGCTGGGACGGCGTCCTCCCAAAAGCCCTGTGGGTGAGCCAGTTGGCCCAGCTTCCTTGAGAAGGGTCAGCACCCTCAGCACCACCTGGGCCTATGTCTGCTATGACCGCAGCCGCGCCCAGCCCCATGGGTCCTTCAGAGCTGGGACCCATCTCAGGAAACCACCCTAGGCTGGGAAATGCCTGAGCACAAGTTCTGGTACCTCTTTCTTCTTTAAGATGGACTTTTTCTGCAGCACCTTCACTGCATAGAACATCCCGTCAGACTTGTGCTTGGCCAGCAGGACCTGAGCAGAAGCACAAACGCAAGGCCCCATGGGGGCCGACTCCTCTGAACTTCGGATTTCTCCATCAGCCCCTGGCTCTGGCCCCGAGTCCGTGATTCTGCAGGTTCTGAGCTCCCGCTTTGCACATGCAAGCAACAGGCAGAGGGTGGAGGAGGCCAGGGAAGGGAAGACCCAGGCCTCCCAACCTCACTGTGTCACTCACCTTCCCGTAGCTCCCTTTGCCAATGACTTTCAGGAAGTCAAAGTCAGTGGGCCTGGCACTGGGGGGTGGGGAAGAGCACAGGTCAGCATTTGTGAACTTGGGAAACCTGGCTCCTGAGATCAAATCCAGGCTTCTCTTTAACTTGGAAGCTGGGGAATAGAGGGAGCTTTCCAAGAGCCAAGCCTCCTCACCACTGAAGCATGCCATGTTCTCCCAGCCAAGAGGGCATGGAGGACTGGCCCCTGCCCCTGGGGATCCACAGTCGAGTAACCAACAGGCAAGTTGGGGAGAAAACCAGACACAACTGCATAGAAGGCAAGAGATCTGGCCCCCCAGACCTGAGAAGGGCCTGAAGGATGGGGAATTGCTAACAATGCAGACTTTAGGGTGCATTTGAGGCATGTGACTCAGCATGGGCAAAGGCTGGGGAATTAGTGGGAGATAAAGCTGGGGGACGGTCCTGGGTCCCAGGTGGCAGAGGGTCTTGATGGTAGACCAGAGAACTTGGATCTGATTCTCAAGAAGAGGGGAGCCGGGTATGAGAGGAGTCAGGTATGAGGGGAGCCAGGGAGGAAAGTTGCTCGAGAGACCAGAACTCACTTTGGGTTGGCTGAAGGTCCCAGGTTGATATTCCCATTGGCCCTTGAGGGCTAAAGACATTTACAGAAAAGTCAGTAAGATCAGCAGTGACTGTGTGTTAGGATCCTCAGCACAGCACCCCACTTTCCCTTGGCCTAGGCCCTGCTCCCTTTTCTACTAGCCTGCCTGCTTCCTCCTTCCTTCTTTCCACTTGTCTACCAACCCACCCAACCATCCACCATCTCATCTGCTTCTCCTAACACCCCATTTTCTTCTTGAAGCTCTTGCCCACCTCTGTGCCCTGTTTACCCTGCAAACGGCCCACTTCCGTGAGCTCACAGTGACCCCTGTCTGCCCCCCCAGTCCTGCTCCAGGTGGGCCCATCAGGCTGGCCTGAGCTTCCACGGATTTCCCCTGTGGAGGAAGTGAGCCCCCTAGTGGTGGGCGGGGGAACCAAGACCCACTCACCTGAGGACTAGGGGTCCCAGCCCCGCTAGAGTCCATTCTCTAAGCAGCAATCAGGTGGGCTCTGGGGACACAAGAGGGACCAGGCATGAGACAGCTGTTTTTGGGGAAGGAGTGTCATCTGTCTAGGGCTTTAGGCACTGCTGCGCTCTCCACTCCTCCCCAACCCTGTGCACCTGCCACAGTCTGAGCATCTCCCACACAAGGCCAATGACCCCAGCAAGGGACAAGAACTGATGTACCCTGGACCCAGCTTCTCTAATCAGATATCTCAAGAGAGCCAGGGGGAATGGCCAAGGGTAACCCTGCCAGGCTGGATCTTTTCAAGGGTTGGGGACTGCCAGTACGGCAAGATCCCTGTGAGCCAGGGCAGCTCTGAAAGTCTAGGATGGCCAGGGCTGGAGGGCTGGGCTCCCCAGGCTCCCAGACAGGCATATGCAACCCTGAATTCCTGTGGACAGCCCTGAGCTGGGATCTGTGTTGTGTTGACTATTATCTCCCTGCCACATGGACTTCTAATTAATGCCCCTAGAATGGCAGCTGCCCTGGGGGCCTTGGAGAGAAGACCCACGCCTGGCTAGTGTCTGTCTGAAGAGTGTGACCAGCTGGTCTATGCAGCCAGGAGCACAGTGTCTTTCCTGCTCCCTGCCTGCAGGGTGAAGGAGGTTGGTGTGTCCGGGCCCTGGCTCAGGATGCCCACGGCACACCCCTGCTTGGAAGGCCAAGGCTAAGACCTGAGATCTCCCCCTAAGAACTCAGTTGCTCACGGAGGCTGCAGGTACTGGACATCCCAGGACCACAGCCTTGACCCGCTGGGGGACCTGGGCTGCAGCCTAGCCCCTCTGGATAAAAACCACCCGTCTTTACAAGGGAGGATCCTAGAGCAACCACCCCCATGGCCTTCTTGGGTGCAGACAAAGTGACCCCAGGGGAAAGGAGGGAATCCCCTAGCCCAGGCTGTTCCAAAAGGCCCAGCCCTGTGGGGCCCTGAGAGCACGAGCTGCAGAGCTGCCTGATTGGAAGTGTAGCCCGGCTTCAGCCAGCGCCCTGGGGTCCGTGCCCCCCCCCCCCCCGAGGGCCCACAATGCTGCCACACCTGCTCCTGGGCTGACCCAGTGGGCCCCTTGGCTGGGCCTTGGCCTCTCTGGCCCCACGTACCTGCGCAGCCCGAGGAGAGGCCACTGAAAGAGCCAGCAGTTGGAGCCGGAGGACAGGCCGTGGACAAGAGAGCCTCCCTCTGTTCTCCCAACAAGGGCCGAAGTGTTAGTGCCTGGCGCCGGCCCGGCCCCAGCGCCCAGCGCAGAACTGCCAGCAGCAGCCGCACGGGGGCTGTTGATGTCACGTGGGATCCAGCGGCGCTTAAGATGGGACCAGAGACCTCGGTTCCCTCGGGGACATCGCCACCCCCTGGGGGGTGGGGGGAAAGGGGTGCGCAACAGCTGCAGGAATGCCCTGCTCACGCCTGGGGCTTGTTCGAATGTGTGCCAGCGTGTGGCTCAGGCTGCATGCGTGTGCGTGTGTGCGTGTGTGTGTGTGTGCGTGTGCAGGGGGCTTGTCTAGAAGACATGCTCCCTGGGGCCTACCCAGGCCTGGTGTAGATAGATCATCATAAAGGTTCCAGCGAACTCATCCACGGCAGCTGAGAGCACTTTGCCTTCCAAGAATCTGCAGGTATTTCAGGGCACAGGTGTCTGGCCCAGTCCAGCCAGCCGTGGCCTTTGACTGCTGAGCACCTGGCCCTTCTTTGCTGGCTGCTCCAGGGCCCTGGTCCACTGTCTCCAGGCCAGGACTGGTTGGCCCACAGCTCCAGCTGTGTAACTGGCAGGAATTGGCGTCCTGACCAGCACCCTGGCTCATGAAGGCCTGGCTGCGTGGTGTAATACTTAGGTACTCACGGGGTCCCTTCCTCTCCCCAGGAGCTTGTGAGGGGTGTTCTAGGGGAATGAAAGAGTTGACAGGGCCTGACACAGCCCCTGCCTTTCTGGAACTTTCTGTGTGGCTACCGTATGCCACACTTAGACCTCTGCAATTCACCACAGTGGAGGGATCCATGGGGCCAGGGCTAAGAAGGTTGCCCAGGGAGGGACCTGAGCCCACTGGCCTCGGGGGTTCTCTCTGGGCTCTGAAGAGCAGAGGACCAGGGGGTGCCAGCAAAGAAAACCCAAGTGAACAATATCAGAACCTTCCCTCTTTAAACAAAACAGAAATGTTGAACCAATACACAGATGGGCAGGATGTCATGTTGACAAAACACATACCCACAATAAGGACATTTCTTTTCAATAACAAGACCCTGATAGGGCCTTTATTCAGCAGCACTGTTTAGAACAGGAGAATAATGGTAACAATAATCATAACTGAAGTGCCCCGCTCAGAGCACCCGCTGGCTGTGGCACCCCCTCTCTTGACCTGACATCCCTTTTCAGGTACGGTTCCCCTTCTCTGTCCCCCATTTCAGTTAAACTCCTTGAAAGAGTTGTCTGGATTCAGTTTCTACTCCTCCTTTTCTCTCTCGAACCCATTCCAAAGAGGCTTGAACCCCAGCCCTCCACCGAGACCCTGGGCCCGTGATTCCCATGTTCCAGAGCCAGTGATGAGTTCCTCAGCCCCAGCTCGCCCAGCTTCTCAAGAGGATTGGGCACACCTGGTCTTCCCACTTGGCTTCTGGAGCTCCTGGTTTTCCTTCCATCTCACCAACTGCTCTTTCTCCATCCCTTCTGCTGGATCTGCCTCCTCTTTTGCCACTCAACGGTGGTCTGCCCCAGGGTTCAGTCCTCAGACATCTATCTACACTTGTTCCTGAGTCGATCACAGTGGGTTCATGGCTATAAGTACCAGCTCTACTCGACAATTCCCAAACCTGTCTCCCTAGTTCTGACTCTCTCCTGCACTAAATCTGGGCTTATATATCTAACTGCGCCCTGAGCGGTTCACTAGTTGGTTTCCTGGAAGCACCTCACTCATAACACGTCCAAAACACGAGTCCTGCCTCACTTTCCTTCCACTCCGCCCCAGCCTGCTCCTCCCTCAGTCTTCCGTCTACCACCTGCTCTAAGATTCAAGCTAGCAACTCGGAATTCAATCTAAAAACATGGCACCTTCAGCCGCCTCCAGTCCACCATGAAATCCCATGGGGGGGTTTCTACCTTCACACTGAATCCAGAGAGCCATGTCCCTACCTGAGCCACTGTCACCACTTGCATGGATTATCCCAATAGCTGCCCTACCGTCTCCTGATTGTTAGTTTTACCCTCTACAGTGTTTCTCCACCCAAAGCCAGAGTGCCACTTTTCAACCGGAAGTCGGACCACCTGACCTGGCTGCTCAAAAACTCCGGTCGCTTCCCATCCCACCTAGGATTAAAATCTACCACGGTCTTCGAGATTCCGTGTGACCTGGCTCCTGTCACCGTCTCCACCTTGGTCCCCATGCTCTCCCTCTCACCATGCTCCAGCCCCTCTGGCTTTCTTGCTGTTGCTCAGACACACCGAGTGCCCTCTGGCCTCCGTTCCCTGGCACTTCCTTTCCCCTCTGCCTAGAATGCTCTTCCCCCAGACTCCGGCATGGCTGGCTTCCAGGAACATCACAGAGGTCTCTGCTCAAATGTCCCCTCTCAGAGAGGCCTTTTCTGGTTATGAGTGACTGATTTTCCTGGTTTGTCTGGGACGGAGGGTTTCGGGGGATGTGAGACTGTGAGGGCTAAAGCTAGAATAGTCCTGGGGCAAAGCAGGATGGCTGGTCACTGTATAGCACCGCTCCTGCCCGCCCCCTATCCACTTTTTCTGCTTTGTGTCTTACTTTCTAACACATACCACTCTGACACCTTATCATCAACTCTTTACTTTGTCTTGAACTAGAACATTGGCTCCACGAGGGCAAAGATTTTCTTGTTCTCTGTTGAATCCCCAGCACCTAGATAAGGACCTGGAATACGATTGGGGCTCAGTACATATTTGACTAATGAATCAGGAATGAGCTGATAAGATCAATGATAGTACATATATAAAATGGAAAATTACCCAACTGAAAAATGATAGATTTGTAAATCAGAACGGGAATATATGTGTGATACAATGTCAAGCAAAAAAAAAGGACATTGCAAAATGGTAGATGTACCAGGGAGACCATCTTTATAAGAAAATAGGGACATGCGTGCACATTTACATTTGTGCATAGTCACCAAAAAAGGCTGGACGTTTACACCCCAAGGTGACAGCGGGTTAGGCTAATTTTTATCTTTGTACCTCGGTGTAAAATGTCTCCAGGGGTTGCTGTTCACTTAATACTGAGGTACTAAGGCCTGGAGAGACTTTGACACGTGCACTGCCCACCGCCACACTCCCATCACCTTGACTGGGGCTCCCACCCCTGAGCAGCTCGCAGCTCCTATGGCTTCTTTCTCACCTGCACCATTGTCTGCTGATTTTCTGGCCAGAGGCTGGGCATCAGTACCTCCTCCTGACTATCCAGACCTACAGAGATGCCTGTGAACCTGCGGGGTGCAGTCCAAGTCCCTCCAGGAGCCCTCAAGTCTGTCCTTCCTCTTAACTGCCACAGCCCAGACGTGCACACCTCTGCCCCATCATGACTCGGACCTGCTCCCACCTCCCGAGGCCTGCTGGATGCAGCGGGGCTGGGGGTCACGCAGTTCCCTCTCCTTGGAGTGCTGCCCTCACCATTCTGGTCTGCTCAGCTAGCCCTTTGCATCTGTCCTCATTTGCCTTCCCCAGAAGCCTTGCCAGACCACCCCCTGCCGCCCGATCCCCAAAACTCTTGTCCCCTTCTCCGTGCCCGCTGCTGCTCTAACACCTGTTTTTACCCTACTATAACTTACTCATTTACATGCCTGCCTGCCCAGTGCATACCAATGACATACCAAGGACGGCACAACCCAGTACCAGCTTGGTCTTATTTTGTTCCCACAGCACCAGGGGTTAGAAGCCACCCATGTCCCTGTTTTAAGGAGGAGGAAACTGAGGCACGGAGAGGTGAAGTGGCTTGATCAAGACACCGAGGTAGTGAACGCTGTAACTGGGATT